ATCATTGGCAACAAACCATCAGTTGTCCTCCAAGTGACCAGCTCACTTCATTTATTCTGAGAAAACCTCTGTCAAATATCCTAACCGAGTAACTGCAGTCTCATCCTTTCAAGTAAAAATGGTGCTCCATGAAAAAAGTCACCAGTTCCACTTCAACTCGAACAACTGTACAAGTGCATTACCTCAACTACCACCACTCTTCAGCACGCAATGGAGTGCTCTATGCAAACTTCCCATTTCTCCACACAGAACACTAGAAAGACTGGCTCAGGGGCTAAGTTTTAATACCGATTACTACTTTTCACTGCTTCTTCAAGGACACTCTTAAATGGAACTGTTTTAACATTGAATGTGTAGCAACAGTGAGGCATACAATGACAACTAAGACTACTGTGACTACTGTTTGGGGACACCGCATGGACTCCTGCTAAAGCACAAGCAGTTTTACCCAACCGTTGCTTTTTAACAGTAGGGTACAGGACTACACAGTGCAGATGAGAAATGCAAGCAACACTTTAGAATTATTGCGAAAAGAGTTTATCTCCTGGATCCACAGGGGATCACATTTTGAAAACCACTTAACGGCTCAGTAAAAGAAACTGGGAGAACTGGTTTCTGTCTGGAAAAAACTAAATCACAGTCCTACTTCACTTCATACACAAAAATCAATTCCAAGTAGATTTTTTAAAAGCTTAATATGAAAAGTAAAACTTCCAGAAGAAAACAGTAGGATGGGGCACCTGAGTGGCACAGTTGGTTGAATGCCCAACCTTTAGTTTCAGCTCAGGTCGTGAACTTAGAGTCATGGGATCCAGCCCTGTGTTGGACTCTGTGCTCCGCGAGGAGTCTGCTTAAGATTCTCTCTCTCCCTCTCCTCTGCCTCATCTTTAAAAAACAAAGAAAGAAAACACAGTAGGATATCTTATCAACCTCAGGGTAAAATTTCTTAAGCAAAGCACAAAAAACACAAACTGTAAGTAGATCGATTACTCTGATGACATTACCATAATAACAATAAATCCTGAACATCAAACGACACCAAACAAATGAAAAGGCAGGTATCAGATGTAAAAAGAACTTCCGCACTAATTAAGATGAAGACAATGCCGCAGGAAAATGAGTAAAGATATGAAGAGGCAATTCACAGAAGACAAATGGTCAATAAATAGATACAAAGAGCTGAACCTCACTACTAATCAGAAAAATGCTAACTGAAACCCCTCATGTACACCCATCAGAAAAACAAAAATGTAAAAATCTGACTGCACCCAGGGGCACCTGGGTGGCTCAGTTGGTTCTGTTGGCTTTGGCTCAGGTCATGATCCCAGAGTCCTGGGATCGAGTCCCACATGGGGCTCCCAACTCAATGGGGAGTCTTCTTCTCCCTCTGCCTGCTGCTCTCCCTGCTTGTGCTCACTCGCTCTTAAAAAAAAAAAAAATCTGACAGTACCAAATGTTGATAAGGTCACTGAGTAATAGCAACACTACTGGTGGAATAAGAACAGCAACCATCACGTTGAAGAGCAAACTGGCAGTATCTAGAAAGGTGGATATTCCCATAACCCAGCATTTCAACTCCTAGATATGTATGCTAGGGAAACTCCTACATGTGTGCACAAGGAGACATATACAACAGGGACCGCTGAAGCCCCGTAGAAAATGAGAAACCACCTAAATATCGAGCAAGAGGTGAATGGATAAGTAAACACTGTCCAAGGAAACTTGGAAGTTTTCAATCAAATCAAGATTTCAGGAATCTTCACCTAGTGAAGTCCCAAGGGATGCACTTAGTTCCTATAGGAAAGTTGTAACCACACGTGTGAACTGTTGCCCACCAGGGAAGCTCATTAGAGACTCTGCCCAGGGTATTTACTGGGGACTGGTCAAGCACCAAAATTCCAGACCCCAGAAGGAAAGGAATATTCAACATAAATTACATTATACAGTTTAGGTACCACGAGGCACTCATCATTTACAGGATGACAGGAAACTTCATGAAATCCAAGTTCCTAGAGACCAGTCAAGGGCCAACCTTGCAATCAGGCCTTTCTAAAGACAGCAGTCTCATGCCTAGAATGGTAACGTTTTTGCATAGATTTCATTTATATAAAATTGTAGAACATGATAATACTATATATTGTATATAAAGATGTACAAACATGCACAGAAAACAAACACCAAATCTAGGGTTGTGGTTACATTGGAGGAAAAAGGGAAAGGACTAGGTTTGAGACAGGAGTACACAAGACCTTTCAACTGCATCTCCAATGTTTGACTCCTTAAGCTGGGTAATAGGTAAAAATGTATTTTGTTGTAGTATTTCTTCTACTTTTCCAAATGGATGTGCACCTGAAATCTAGTAGGAAGAATAAAGACATCTCCTGCGGCGCCTGGGTGGCTCAGTCGGTTAAGCATCTGCCTTTGGCTCAGGTCATGATTCCAGGGTCTTGGGATCCAGCCCTGCATCTGGCTTCCTGCTGAGCAGGGAATCTGCTTCTCCCTCTCCCTGCTACTCCCCCTGCTTGTGTGCCCACATGCTCTCTCTCTCAAATAAATAAATAAATAATCTTAACAACAACAACAAAAGACTTATCTCCTTATTACTATATACTACTAACGGTTCATGTTATAGAGTGCTTTTCACGTTCCAGGTATTATATTAAACCCTTTATATCAATTTACTCTTTTAAATACACTCAGGTCAATGTGAGGCAGCAGACATCTCTACCCTCAATCAGCTGCCAATCTACTGACCGATGATGAGAGATGAGCAGTCTAAAACCAAGTTAAGTACTACTAGATCTGAATGCTACTAAGAATAAAACAGGATAATATGATTAAGGAAGGGCTGCTTTAAACTAGAGTGGCCCGGGAAGGCTTCTTTGAGGGGACATTTGAGTTGAACCATAAATGATGACAATGAGACAGCCATGCAATTGTTTAAAGACAGCACATTCTAGGCAGAGGGAACAGCAAGTGCAAAGCCCTGCAGCAGGAATAAGCTTGGTATGTTGAAATACACTAAATAAAGCCAGCAAGGCTGGAGAGTGGTGACAGAGGAAGGCTTGTAGATGAGGCCCAAGAGGTCAGCTGAGGTTACCATGCAGGGCCTCCTAAGCCACAGTAAAGATCTTAGGTTTCATTCTAAGTACGATAAGCTTTTGAAGGTTTTAAGCAGAGTAATGACATGATCTAGTTTATAATGGAAGATTATTCAGCCCGCTATATAGAGTACTCATTATAGATAGAGAGCCATTTTCTTCATTAGCACCAAAGACATAATGCTTGTGGCTGATGAGCTTCTCAGCGGGTACGAAAAGGTGGGGGGTGGGGGAAAGTTCCACAATGCAAAAAGAAAACTACGAAGTTGGAATGAATAAGTATTTAATTAAATGTCTAGAAAACATCATAGCAACTTCATCATTAAATTGAGTATTCATATAAACAACTGAATTACATTTGGAAATAATGTGAAAATTAGATTTTTTCAGTTACAAAAATTCGCAAGTATGCCCAACGACTGCCAAGAAATCATAGCTGATCATAAATGGGGATTTTCTTGCAGCCAAATCATCTCCAAGAAAAAACTGTCAATATTTTTAACCACAAAACATTTTTTTAATGTGAAATGTAGATATACAAAAAGGAAAAAAAATGCCTAGCATCAAGGGGCCTTACAATTGTACCAACACTACAGAGGTGGCTGGGTAAGAAATGCTAGTGGCTTGAATAGGTGCTGTTCAGGCCTATACTCTTTTTTTTTTTTTTTTTTTCAGGCCTATACTCTTAATGAGTCTGAACAGTGACCAGAGGACCCTTGCAAAGCCTTCTCTGAGAAAAGCATATTTGATGAACACATAGACCTGAATGCCAAGAAGGTGCCAGCCATGCCAAGAGCGGGAGAAGAGGTTCTGCGCTGGAAATGCCAGGTCAGATTTGTAAGGAACCGAAAGAGAATTTGGCCAGACGAAGCTGGGGTTAGGGCGGGGGAAGGGGGTATAGTAGGAAACAAAGTACGTAGAGTCTCTAACACGACTTTCTTATCCTGACAACAGAAAACCACTCACATTTAAGAGTGGCTGATCCAAATTGTTTCACACCTACACCGTCCAGGAATACAGCAACCACTTGTCACAGGGGCTCATGAACACGTGCACGCAGTTCGTGCCCCGGCGGCACAGCACTTTCGCCATCACGGAATTCTAACTGATCAACGTTTACACTGAAAACCCGACATGAAGTCGAGCTCCTGGAAAACTTGTTAAGTTGGGGACAGGCGGCGTGGGCATGTGAACCTACATTTTCAACTCTCTATTTTATGAAACCTAAAAGCCAGGCCGACTCCTTCCGATGAAAATGGAGATGCACCCGTAAAACGCATGGGATTTCGAAGCCTTGGTACTTAGTAAAAGAATGCAAGGTACCTCATTTGTATTTTTTTATACCCGTCGCATGGGGAAATAAGATCTTGGCTACACTGGGTTAAAGATAACATTAAGATTCATTTCATCTGTTTTGTTACTTTTTTTTTTTTTTTTAACGGGCTTACTAGAAAAATGTGAAGAGAGAAATGGGGCTCGCGTTCATTTTCCACTGGTCGCGGGCAGGAAGCAGAGGATGGGTCCAACGGGCGCCTGGAGTCTCCCAGGCAGGGCGCGACGGCGGTCCGACCCTACGGGGTGCACTGAAGTCTCTAATTGTATTATGCAGTCACGAGTCAAGTCCGTGAGTTTTCCACGGTCCCGTTCACAGGGCGGGGAGACGTGGCCCAGGCTGCTGAGTGGCAGAAGCCGGACTTCAAGTCCCCCTTACGGCGCTGTCCACCTGAAACCTCCCAGCGGCCCTCAAGCAGGTGAGAGCGGGATTCGAACCAGGCCCGACTCCCAGGGCCCCGGTCCGAGCGCGCAGCGTGAGCGCTGCTCCGTCTCCCCTCAGGAGTGTGACCAACGTTCACAACGGACTCCCCCGCCGCTGGGCCTGCGGAGCCCGGAGCCCCTTAAAGAAGGTGCCGGCAACGCTCACCTGCTGACAGAGGCCAAGGCGGCAAACGCTCCTCCTCTCCCTCCACACAATTCAAGCACGCCGGCAGCCGACTTCCGCTCCTCTGCGGCGAATCCCTAGCTAAGTATTCGTCTCCCCCCGCCCCGCGACCAACCCAGCCAATCACCTCTCAGAGAATCTGCATCCGCCGGGCCGCAAGCCTGCCTGCCAATCACCGCGGGCGCCAGCACCGCCCCTCCCGCCCTCTTAAGCGGGTGCCGCGCGCCACCACTAGGCGGTTGGCGGCGCTGCCCTCCGCCCGGACGCGGCTCCCGGAAGGGCGGAGCGAAGCGCGGGCCCCGCCGGTGCGGGAACCTTTGGGATTGGTCGAGAGGAGCCCCGCGCTCTGCCTCCGCCCACCCCTGCCCTAGACATCCGAGTCGGAGACGCTGGGGATTGGTTCCCGTTGGGTCCCAAGAAGCCAAGAAATGGTTCCGCCTCCTTCGCGCATCCCGGAGAGGGAGCTCCCTGGATTGGCCCGAGGAGTCCCGGCGCGCGCCGACCCGCGCCCCAGGATTGGCTGAGGGTGTGCTCCCGTCGGCTGAGAGCGTTGACGGTGATTGGCCGGAGGGTGGGGCCGGCTATTTGAAGGAGGCGCGCGGACCAAATACGCACTTCAGTCGGCGGACAGAAGAGGCGGGAGCGGCTGTGGTAACGCTAAACCCGCTGACCCCAGAGGATTCAGGCGCGGGCTCGGCCCCAGCTGTGGCCTCTGCCGCAGTCCGGCAAGGCGATGGCCAAGGTTTCTGTGCTGAACGTGGCGGTGCTGGAGAATCCGAGCCCTTTCCACAGCCCCTTCCGGTTCGAGATCAGCTTCGAGTGCAGTGAGGCCCTGGCGGACGGTGAGGCTGGGCCTGTATGGAGATTCCCCCCTCCCCCCGGCCAACCCCGACCTCCCGCGTGAAACAAGCCCTTCCAGCCCTGATCTTTCTCCTTCCCTCCCGTTCAGCCCCATCCTTTTTGTGGAGGTTACTCCGGACACCCTGTGGCCAACCCGATCGATCCCCTCCCCACGGTTACTCCCGTTTCCTGCGTGGAGACCACCATCCCCCTATTTTTTTCTGTGGAGCCCCTCCTGGGCACGTATTTCCTATGTAGAAACCCCAGTCTCCATGCTTTAACCTGCAGAGACCTTCAGTCACCCCGTGTTCCCCAGGCTACCTTCCTTTTTTCCCAGCGGAGCCCCTCCGTCACCCTTTCGCTCTGTGAAATCCCATTCCCCCGTGGTAAACCTTACTCGCCCCGATCTCCCCATTTGTCTCCAGTAATCCCCTACCCAACCTGCTGATATTTAAAACAACCCCACCCCCACTCACTCCTGATTGTTTTCTACCCCCAAAGCACATACCCTAGAACCTGGCTTCCCACCTCCTTAGCCTGTCCCCAATTTTCCATTCTTGGGCTCCACCCGGGGAGGCATGGCAGGTTTCCAGCTCCGGTCCTTCAGGATAACTTGGTCTTCCCAGCTCCGGTTCCTCCTTCCTGTCTGCGCGCTTGGATAAACATTCATATCTGAAGTGTGGCCTAACCAGGCAAGCATCACCCGGTTCCCACTGTCTGCCCACCAGGTTCCAGCTGGCCTACTGCAGAAATTCTTGCAGCCCTTTTGATGGTCTGACCCAGTCTGGGGGGTGGGTGGGCCAGGCTGAACCATGACAGTCTCTGGCTTCAGACAGTCGGCTGGGAGGTCAGAACTTTTAGGGCATCTTTTCCAAGGTGCTTTCACAGATGTACTTATTCATCTGTGTTATAAAGGCAGATACGGCTCTCATCTCACAGATGAGAAGACAGGAACCACAAAGAATGAAAGACCTTTCAAGTAAAGGTCTATAAAAATCGAAAATCTAAGGTTGCCCAGGGACTCTTGGCATCACTTTCAGGAGGAAGTACCCCATTAGACAGATTCTCCATTTGGTGGTTAAAGAAGAGGCAGCCTCTGGGGAGCTGGAGATTTGTGAGGTCATGGTGTGCTAACTAGCGCCTCTCAGTGGTAGGTGGGTGGTTTGTGGGAAAAGCCAGCCACTTGGATTAGTTTGGGGTTGACAGAATTCGAGATGTGTGTGCTTTTGGTGTAGGCCAATAGATCAGTCTCTCCCAGTTTCTCTCCCTTTTAAATTAAGGAATCTACTTGTGACTAACTATAGAATAAGCCCAGTTAAATCCTTTCTGGAACAAGGTAGGGTGTAAATAAATAATTAAAGTGTAGAATGACACTGTGGAATAAGAATTTAATTTTAAAGCCAGGAGGAAATGTAAGGAGCTAATAGGTTAAGGGATTCACAGTTCCCAGAAGGCAGGAGATCAGGTTTCAAACAGCCTGTTTGTGCTCCTTGCATTTAAAAAGGGTTGCATAGTCATTATCTAGTACATCTATTCCTAGGAAAACCTCTGCCTGTTACTTTACTAATCTGTTTATAGACTCAGAGCAGGAAAGTCAAAAGTCAACCTGCTGGTCGTTATGTTTTAATAGAGAGCAATGGAATGACTTCCCCAAGGTCATAGAAGTAGAAGTCTTGATGCTGGGTCTATAGAAGCATTGACACTAGAGTTTGTCTCTAAGTTGAGTCCAGAGTTCTCTACCTTGGCTATAACCTAGGAAAGAAAGATTTCATCCCTTATTTTAGAAGTGGAGCATAAATAAGACTGCCCATAGAATTTATTCCCACATTGGGACACTCTCAAAAGAGAATGAAGGGGTGCTATTATTAATTACACCCAGAAAATAAAGCTTTTGCTCAGAGAAATCCAAGTCAGAAAGCAAACTCTGGCCTGGAAATCCAGACTCTGGTTCTATCCCTAGGGCTGTCCATGACTTTGACCTGCCCCCTTGCTTTCTGCCTCCTCCTAGCCTTCTTCCCATGGAGCAGAAAGAATCCATTTCCTGCCTCCCAAATATATGGAGGGGGCCTGGTTTTAGGAGTCTCTCAGATTCTGGAAAAATCTCAGTCTTGTTACCTTGACACTGGCAACTGAAGGTGCAACAAAAGACCCAACCCCCAATCAGTGGTTGGCTCTGTTTCCCAAAGGATCCAAGCCCCTTTGGTTCTTTTTTCTCCTCAGCAACTGGAAATAGATGCTTCCAAGACTTCGGTCCACATTTAATACAGTAGGTGTGTTTTTCCTCTTGTATTGAGAAATTCAGCAGCAACTGTTTGAATAAGTCATGGAACCAGATGTTCTGTCCTACAGCTAACACTGTGGTCAAGCCAAGATTCATCTATATGATTCTGAACAAGGGCAAATAACAAACAGAAAGAAAGCCTACTAGATAGTTTTTGTTTTGTTTTAAGGCAGGAAATATTCTCCAACTAGTTCAAAACGAATTTTTACATGCCTTTTATCAGGTTAGTTTTGGTTTTGTTTTCGTACCTAGTGGAGGAGCATGTTGTCAACTGTTCCATTGTGAAGTCAGGATATAAAGACAAAATTGAGTACTGTCAAGTTACCCTTGAAATTGCCTAAAAAGTTAGGTACACCATGACACGTGTGCAGCTGCCTCCTTCTTCTAAAGGATGGTTATATTAAAAAATGGAGGGGTGCCTGGGTGGCTCAGTTCAGCTCAGGTCATGATCTCAGGGTCCTGGGATCGAGCCTCGCATCAGGCTTTCTGCTTGGGGGGGGGGGGCTGCGCTCCAACCACCCCCCCCCAGCCTCTCTGCCTGCTTGTGATCTCTCTCTATCTCTGTCAAACAGATAAATAAAATCTTAAATAAATAAAAGTAAAAATAAGAAATGGAGCAACTTAAGTATGCTTCTGCTTAAAACGCCTAACAAGTTTATGATGATCCAGGTTATAGGTCCTTATTTTCAGGTATCTGCTGTCTTCTGCAGATGACTTTATCAGCTCCTCTAACCCCTTGAGTCAGTATTTCTCTATGGTCCTCCGTCATTTCTCACGTTTCTTTTTGGCCTCTCTTGAGGGAGTCATTGTGGCCCATTTGCCTGGCTGCTGGCCCAGTGCGTTTTCTTGGGGCAGCACCCACACCAGTCTTTGTTTAGGTTTTGCCAGTGGTACTGAATACCCAGTGCCTGTGACCCTCACAGGACCTGCTCTCCTTCAGTCTCCTTTTTATCTCGCTCCAGCAGATTAGTTAAATGCACACATATAGGACTCCACGGGAGTGGGGGGGCAAGGCTGGGAGGAAAGCTACCAAAATAGAGAGCTGTTAGAAAGGTAAAGACAGTCAGCTTGGTTTTTGTTCATCCAGAAACATGTTCTGTTTAGTCGTGTCACTCCTTGTCACAAAGGTAAATCAGTAAACTTAACTGGTCCCTGCAAATATTAAGAGACTGGGGGTTTGAATCCCGGTGAACCTTACGGTCACTATGCCACAGACCCGCTAGGGACCCTGAGTAGAAGGCTTAGGCGACGCTGCAATGGGAAAGGAAATCAGTGTATTGAGGAAGAGCGTGGGGCTCAGGTGACAGACCTCCATAGCTGTGGCCCAGCATAGCGGTGTTTCCCCAGTTGGATGCTGTTGTGGGACACTGAACCAAGAAACAGGGCAACTTCAACAACAGTTTGTTTCCTGGGAAACTCATAGCTTGTGAAATTTCCGCTGGCTGCTGGAGCTGTAGGTTGTGTAATTTCAAAGAACCTAAAATAAGTTGCAGGTCTCCTGCCAAGCTCCCCTGTACTAGCGTGACCTTGCCCCTGATACACTTGGACCTCCTGCAAGAGGCAGCGGTCACCGGGAATTTCCTGTGCTTGCTGGGCAGAATCTCCTTAAGCACTTTTCCTTTCACCTTGCTGGAACCTACTCAGGGATGAGATTCCCCCTACTGGATGGGATGCAAGCAAGTTGGGGTTCATAGGATCACCTACAATACCACATTTGTTGACCAAGTCACTGTCACCCAAACATCTGAGAGTAGGCATGAGTTGGTGCCGGAACTGGAAGACCTGGGGGCTGGCTGGCTCCCTCAGTGGCCTCGTCTTCCCCCTCCTGCCTGCTGGCTCTCCTACTGGATTGGAATCTGCTGCCCTGCCCCAGTTGTCGAGGGATCTATTCAGTTCGGTGGCACCAGTCCCTGTGTGTGAAAGAGGATGCTGCTTCCTATCCCAGGACCCAGTGGGCAGGGCCCTGAAATGGCCCAATTCCCTGCTCTTCCCTCCTCAGCATGCCTCTGTCACGTGGCTCCTAATTCTACCTCTGCCATACGGTTCACCCTCAGGCTCTGAGATCGCGGAGTTTCCCCAGAGATGCAGAGTCAAGGTCGCCTGGCAAAGCTAGGCTCACGGGGAAAATTTCCCCATTAGAAGCAGAGTTTCATGCCCACTCCAGTGTTCAGGCTTGTGATGCCTGGCACTCAGTCTCCAGCGGATGTCAGGTATTCTTGAGAATAAAAATCTTTCAGTATATTAAGGATCTGTCTACAACTCACGTGAGAAGATCTTCCCCTGCCTTCATGCTGCCCAGCTATTTAAAATCCTTAATTCCCCATATCCTTACAGATCTAGAGTGGAAGATCATTTATGTTGGCTCAGCTGAGAGTGAGGAGTTTGACCAAATCCTAGACTCTGTGCTAGTTGGGCCCGTCCCAGCGGGAAGACACATGTTCATCTTTCAGGTAAGAAAGACAAGGCCTGAGGCCTTGGCACCTGGACACATCCTCTTCTACCTGAGAGCATGCAGTGTGGTTCCAGGGTCAAAAGTTGAGGCTCAAATTCTGGCTCTGCTTTCAAGAACTCTCTGACCTCTCAGAAATACTTCATACGTTTCCCTTTTCTCCACTTCTGTGTCATAGTTGTCACCATGAGCCACTGATTCATAGTTGATTCTCATTATTCATGGCAGTTACATTCTATAAGGTCGCTGCAAATGCTGCATTAGCTAATTCGTGAACACCACACCATTGCCCGTGGAAGAATACAGGGTTAGGTTGTTGCAAGTCCTATTGTCAGTATAGTATGTCAGTACATAATCTTATTTCGCGTGTTTATATTGAAAGACACCTTGTTTAGTATTGTTGGCTCATTCATATTGAACTCCCTGCCAATCGCCCTCTAACTCATGCCTGAACAAAGCTTATCTAACACATACCTTGTCCATAAGGCACATCATCACCTTGCACTAAGCACTATGCTTGCTGGCCATTCTGAACAGCAAGGTCACCAGGGCACCTGGGTGGCACAGTTGGTTGTGCATCTGACTCTTGGTTTTGGCTCAGGTTATGATCTCAAGATCATGGGATCAAGCCCTGCACTGGGCTTCGCGTGGTGTCTGCTTGGGATGCTCTTCCCTCTGCTCCTCCTCCACTTCCCTGTCTCGCTTGCCCTCTCTCTCTCTCTCTCTCTCTCTAAGATAAATAAATATTTAAAAATAAATGAATATTTAAAGATACTAAAAGCAAAGGCTCTGCTCAGTCCTCACCTGCCTCCCACTCTGCTGCTCCCACCCCAGTCCAAACAACTTCATCCCATCCCCTAACACCTCACCCTCCTGTAACCAGGCCACCAGCAAGGCAAGCCCATCTGCGCCACTCCACAAGCAGGGCTGCCTTCCTGAGCATTCAGCCCAGGCGGCCATACAGGGCCCAGCACCTGGTCTAATAAATTCTGCTGTTGCTGGCTAGAACTCAGTAATTTGTGAATAAGGGATCCCTTGTTTCATTAGGTATTGGTTTCATTTTGTACCAGTTATGTAGCTGGTCCTATCCATAACAACACACCCCAAATCTGTCTGCCTCTGTTCCTCTCCTTCCTGGTATAAGTTGCTCTCTGTGCTCCAGGGTGACTACTGTAACCTGCCCAATCTCCCTGCTCACACAACGGCCCTCCTCCCATCATAACCTCACACCCTGCATCACACCCCACAAGAGTGATGCAGCACTTACCTCCTGCCAAACATTCTTTCTCTTCCCCAAGCCCTTAACTGGCCCAAAAGGTCCTGGGTGGCCTAGTACCTACCTGCCTTATCCTCTGCCACCCTCCCCCCCCCCCCCCACTCACTACACTCCTCAGCACCATTTACTTCCTCATGGCACTTGTCACACTGAGCATTTTACAGGCATTTGCAGGATTGATTCTGTCTTCCCCACTCGATTAGAAACTCCCGTTGGTAGAGATCATACTTCTGGCTCAGTAAATATGTGTTGCTTGAAAATCATTGTTAACTGAGGGAGGTGTGGCTGTGTGATCAATGCTAAGGCGTGGGGTGTGTTTCCTCTAGGCTGACGCCCCCAACCCATCCCTCATCCCCGAGACTGATGCTGTGGGTGTGACCGTGGTCCTCATCACCTGCACCTACCATGGACAGGAGTTCATCCGTGTGGGCTACTACGTCAACAACGAATACCCCAATCCCGAGCTGCGGGAGAACCCACCCCTGAAGCCAGACTTCTCTCAGGTGGGGCCTGTGTTTGGGCCTGCTTTGGACAGGCTGGCTCCTTTGCACCTGGGGGAGTTGAGTCACTGGAACTGGGAGCCAAGGTCGCTTCTTAAGGTTTTCAAGTCATGCTCAGATCTTGCAGCTCCAGACTAGAACCAGAGAGAGAAAGGTCTTTGTTTCTCAGAAGCACGCCTCGCAGAATTGAGATTAGATAGGTCTCAGCCCTAAGTCGTGGTACATAAGTGCTCCTTGGAGATCTACCCATAGTTGTTGATGGTGATGGAATAAGTAAGCTCTATTCTTCCTGGCCTTGGGGCAGGAGCTGGGGGTGCCCCAGCTCCGTGGGAGTAATGACAAGGCATGCTGACAAGGGTTGACGTTCCTCTTTCTGCCCCAGCTCCAGAGGAACATCTTGGCCTCAAACCCCCGAGTGACCCGATTCCACATCAACTGGGACAACAACATGGACAGGCTAGAGGCTATAGAGAACCAGGACCCTGCCCTGGGCTGTGGCCTCCCCTTCAGCTGTGCTCCTATCAAGGGCTTGGGTCTCCCTGGCTGCATCCCCAGCCTCCTTCCCGAGAATTCCATGGACTGCATCTAACTGCGGGAATCCAGGCCCTACCTGGGCCCAGCCAGGACTGCGGCCAGTCTCCTAGCACATCTGCAGAGGGGAACTTGGCCTCCTGGACAGTCCCATGGAGGCCATCTGGAGGGCTTTGAGGCTATCACCTATACCCAGGCCAGACGTGGCTCTGAGGAAGGAAGCAGGCCTCCGGTCTCTCCCAACCCTGACCCAGAAGGATCATCTTACCTCTACTGCCCAGGCCTGTAAGAAGCAGGTACTTCAGTTTTTAATTCTTTGTGACTTGTGTCTTTTCTCTCTTCCACACACACTTTATAAATTCCACCTGCAGGCCTTTGCGCCGCCATGCTTCTGTGAGTACCATTGACCCAAAGCTCTTCCCACAGACCTCCCTGGCCTGCCTTGAGGCTTTCTTGGTCAATCCCTGGCAAGGCTCCAGCCCTGTTGAGCCAAAGGCTCTGTCATTCCTGTCCTTCCCCAACATCTGAGCAAATCCACCCCACTTTTTGGAGTCACAGGCAAGAAATCTTGGTTAAAAGGTATGCTTGGACTCAATTTCTGTCCTTCTCCCAGGAAAGTTTTTAGGTCTTTCTGATCCAACAGCCTCTGGAAAACTTTCTGAAGGGGTGTGCTCAGCAGGATGCTGAGGAGTGATGGTTGACTCTCCTCTCAGTCACAACCACCTTCCCATCATCTCCTAACTGGATCTGTCTTTCCCTGGAGGCTGCCATGGTGGGGAAATGGCATGTTGGAGGAGTCTGCTTTGCTCAGTCTGCCTCAGTGTTGGCATCAGGGCCCCTCTGCCTGCCTTGATCTGCCCGCTGCGAAGACCTCGTGCTCTTACAGGCAAAGGAAACTGTAGGGACCCTGAAAACCTCTCCCCCTCGACCCAACACCATGCTCCCTGCGACGCCCTGTTCCCTTGCTGCTACGTGGATGCTATTGTGATTGCAGTTTGTATATTAAAGGGTTTTTATATTAAATATTTTGGTTGATCTAAAAATAAAAAGCACTTCATTTAGACTGATTCTGCTTTTGTCGTAAGTGGGCTGAGGCAGATTTGTTCATTTCTCCTCATAATGTGGTGAGGGGGCTCTTGCCCCAGCCACTGGGCTGACTGCCCTTTGTCCCCTTGCTCAGCTCCTTACCCTAGTCTTAATTGGTTACATAATTGTACTCCAGACTGAGGTTCAGGGAGGGGTTTTTCTTTGTCAAAAGTTAAGCAACACAGCTGTTCTGGGTAGAACATAACCAGTGATTTTTTAGACTTTGACCTTGACCCACGGGAAGAAATTAACATCATGCCCCAAGGACACACAAAGCAACACTTTTATTAAATTTTACTTAACCTTACTTTGTAACCCCACAGCCCAGAGTAGACTGCTTTGGCTGGTGAGCCATTTCCCCATAATTCAGAGAAGTGCCCTAACTCTTCCCTCCCGAAAACTGGGAGACCTAGGAACATGGGTGCAGATAGCTGCTGGAAAGGGTGTGGACTGTATAGGTCGAAAGGCCAACCAGCCAGTTGGCTTATAGACCTGAGACCCAACTAGCTCCTGAGTCAAGATAGCTGGTTCATCCGGCCCCCTGCTCCCCTTGGCAAGTTCTGTTTGGGTCTTCTTCAGTGGTTCTCAACTGGGGGTGCTTTGCCTCCGGGACACATTTAACAATGTCTGAGATCTGTTTTGGTGGAGGTGAGGGAAGTCCTACCGGCATCCAGTGGGTAGAGATGGGATGCTGATAAAACTGTTGTGCACACACAGACCCGTCCCTCACCCCCAACAAAGAATTACCCTGCCCCAAATGTCAATAGTGTGGCAGTGAGAAACTGACCTCAGGCTGTGTTTTAAAAGGGCACCCGGGGCGCCTGGGTGGCTCAGGTCATGATCCCAGGGTCCTGGGATCGAACCCCATATCGGGCTCTTTGCTTAGCAGGGAGCCTGCTTCCTCCTCTCTCTCTGCCTGCCTCTCTGCCTACTTGTGATCTCTGTCTGTCAAATAAATAAATAAAATCTTTTAAATAAATAAATAATCAATCAAAGGGCACCCAGGGGCACCTGACTGGCTCTGCGTGGAGCATGGGACTCTTGATCTCTGGGTTGTAAGTTGGAGCAGAACATTAGATGTAGAGATTACTTAAATTCTTTAAAAATGAAAATAAAAGGGCACCCAGAAAAAAGTCATCGTATTGCTTAGGGAGGGCAGCTTCCCTTCGTGTTGCCCAAAAGGCATCCTCAGCCTGGCTGTGCCCCAGATTCCTCATCTGTAAAATGGGAGTGATGATAATAGTACCTCCGTGATAGGACTGTGGTGCAATGTATTTAACAAGTGCCAGCTCCTACTACTGACGCGCACAAATCCAGGGTAGATGCCCAGCAAAGGGATGGCACAGAGCCCCCTGCCAACCACCCTTTACTCCCTGGGCGCAGCATCCTCCTGAAACTCTGGCTGTGGCTGGAGGAGACCTAGAAGGCTCCTCGGCCTGGACTCTGCTGTCCTGCGTCAGGCCTTATGAATGACGACTGCCTGCGGCCTGGCGACCTCTGACCCGAGGCGCCCGCCGCGCCCCTCCCCCACTGGCAGGTGGACGGCGGCTGCGCCGGGAGGGTAGTGGGGAGGCCCTGGCGCCAACCTTGGCTGGCCGGCAGCCGCTGCCGCACTGAGCGGAGGCGGGGGACTGCGGCGCGTACGGGGCCAGGCGGGCGCCCGCCTGGACCGCCTCCTGGGCCTCGGAGCGCGGCGCGGCCACCCGCCAGCTTCGGCCGCCCCGCCCGGCCGGCCAGAGCAGTAGGCTGCATCTCCGCCCCGCCCTCTCACCCCGGGATTGACACTGAATGTTCTGCGGGGGGTTTGCCGGACAGCGCGCCTCCGCCAATTGGCGGCCTCGCTGGGCGGGCCACGGGCCCTGTCGCTAATCTTGGCCAGTCAGGTGTGCCGGCCCGCCCAGCTGAGGCCTCGCGAGCTCGCGAGTGGCCGGGCGTCCGCGGCGCGCGTCACGGAGCCGAGGGCCTATCGCAGCTCGGGAGGATTGCGGAGGACCAATGGGCGGCGGCGTGGCGCCGTCACTCAGGACGGCCTAGGCCAATGATCGGCGGGCTGCGGGGGCGTCACGGACAGCAGCAGCGGACTTGGGCTGAGGTTCCCCGGCGGGCGGGCGCGGAGAGACGCGGGAAGCAGGGGCTGGGCGGGGGTCGCGGCGCCGCAGCCAGCGCAGCCAACCCGAGGGGCCGCCGCTGCCGCCCAGCGCGCTCCTGGGCCGCCGGCCGCCGCCAGCACCCGCCGCGCCGCAGCTCCGGGACCAGCCCCGGCCGCCGTCGCCGCGATGGGCAACGCCGCAGCCGCCAAGAAGGGCAGCGAGCAGGAGAGCGGTGAGTGCCCGGGCCATGACCCCGATTCCGGCCCCGCGCTGCCAGCCCCGGCCTGTCCATCACCGCCTGGCCCCTCCCCCTACGCGCCCCCCTCTATTTCTCTCTGCTCATCCCCTCCCAGCGCCCCTTACCCCTGCCTGTCCAAGGTTGGGTCCCAGGGCCCGCAGAAGACCCCCGTAGGGGCCCCCTTGCCAAAGGCCACCCCCCCCGGCAAAGACTGTGCCCCCCCCCACCCAGCTGTCACTGCCAACCAAGGCACGTATGACCGCTGGGGCCCCACATGGGGCCTTGTCACCACCCCACCCCCTCCTTTCCTGCCCCCTCTTCCCAGATTCTAATCCCTCTACTTCCTCACTCACCTCTCCCACTGATGGAACCCACTGCCAGACCCCGACCCAGGTTTCTGCCAGCTTGGAAGTGCTATGGGGTCTGCCTCCACCCCGCAGGGACCTTGGCCTCTTAGTGACCACACCCCTCCCCCCTCCAGCCCCCGCCATCTTTCTCCTGCCCTTCCCCTTTTCACCTTATCACAGCCCCCCTCCAAACCCACGCTGCCCCCCTTAAGCATTTCCCAGAGCCACCTCCAGCATTGTTTTTCCCTTCTGTGTCACTTGGCATGGGGGACAGGATCTTTCTGGGTCCCTCTGCCCCTCTCTCATCTTGTCACTCAGTCACTCTGCTTCTCTGCTTGTGTTCCCTCCTCCAAGCAAGCGTCTGTCCCTGACTGAGGTAGCAGACTGTTTATGAACCTAGAGAACTGCTTCAGTGCTTCCAAAGCCAAGTTTGAGCCCGTCTTGCTGGGATTCGTTGCATCTTCTTTCCTGGGTTTGGGGAGGGGGGGGGTGAGGGGGGCGGCAACAGAGCTCCTTCCCGTCTCCTGATATGCAGTGAGCTCTAGGCTTCTTGAAGTGCCCCTAAATAAATGGTCGTTTCACAAATGAGGCTCCGTCATTCACGCAGTCGCCAGGGCTTCTTCACCCTCTCCTGGCCCAGGATGAAAAGTGGGGTATGAAGTGTCTGGGTTTAGCAGGGCTCATTCAACTTGAGCTGGGATGGTGAGAGAGGGGACTTGATGCATGACAGTTGGAGAGAGTAGCGACTGACATCTAATGACTTGCTTTGCCAAGGGACAAATAGGTTCTGATCATTCCCAGGGCTCAGCCAGAGAGAGGCCTGTTTCCCCCTCAGCCCCCAAATTTTGTTGGTGTTGGCCTTTTCCAGCCAGAGAGACTCTGTATCTGGAAATGCCTTCAGAAATGGCCTCAGCACCTTCCTCAGTTCTCCCAGCTCTTAAACTGTCATCACTCCAGACCTATAGCTGGACCCGAGCTAGGATCCCCTTCCAGTTACCCAGAAATAGTCAGAGCTGAAAGGGAGGCTGTGTCCAAATTGCCCTTCCCAATTTCTGATCTCAGACCCCAGCATCTGAGTCCTTCGAATGCCCCGTCCCAGAAGGATGCAGGCACAATACCTAGGGAACTTTATTTCACACGGATTCAAATGGCAGAACTCAGAATCACCAAGCAGCCATGGAAAGGCCTGCCATGTCACTGATGGGCGGGGGACAGGGAGGCAAGTGCCTGTAGCTGAGCACTTGATGACAGAGTAGCAGGTGGGTAGTGACCAAAAAAGGTCTGGGCATGAGCGTGGAGGGGACTAGGCAGAGGGGGAGGGGCTGGAGCCCCCAGCAGGTGAGGCTGGCTGGGGGGTGGAAGGTGGAGGCAAATTGCTATATACTGCGGTAGCTCAGTTGAAAGTTGGGAAGATGACATTGTCCTGGAAAACTTTCAAGGCATATCAAACACATGCATAGTGGGGTAGAAAGCCGCACAGGGAAAAGGATTCCGGAGGATCAGAGAGGCTCTGGAAGGAACCGCTAATTCGCTAGGAGAGCAGGCAGGCCAGACACCCAGAAGTGGACTATCATGATGAAACAGAGCTACTGTTTACTAGGCATCTAGGATGTGCCAGGCTAAATGGTCCCCATAGATCGATCTGCTGGAATGATTCTCATAACAATTTTCTCCGAATTTTCCAAACACGCTGTCTTGAGTTTGACATAGATGATGTCAAAGCGGCAGGATTTGCATCCAGATCCGCTTATCAGCTAACTTCCTAGACCCCAGAATTTCCAGATCCAGACATTCTCAAGCTGCCTCCTTGACTTTTATTCTATTCACTTATATTTTCTTAATTTAAAATAATAAAGTTTTGACCCACTTTGGTTCAGATGTAAAGTTTGATCTGTCCTAAGCAATAATATAAATGAGATCAGGAGATTGTTCTGCTGGTCATATTCTCTCTGGTACCCATTAAAATACAATGTAAACTGGACAAGTGAAACTTCCTAAAATCATTTTGTGCCCTGCCAGGGGGACCCATGTCACACTTCAGGAAATGCCCTCAAGCTGTACGAACTACCAGAGGCTTACAGGGGCTCTTAGAAAAGGAAATAGGATGAGAAAGGAAGCCCCTTTTTGCTTTGAAGCTCTGAGTCCAAAAGAATGAAATTAGACAAAATATGCCCTCTTGTCGCCAGGGTGCAGTGGCGGTGGGGGTGGGGGCAGTAGCCAGGCCAGCCTGTAGGGGGCACCTGAATTTCATCTGCCGGTTGCTAACCTGACCTGGGTCAGGAAAATGCCCAAGCCATAGGAGGCACCAGTCAGACACCCCTCA